CCAGAGTCAGAACTAAACCAGGTTCTGGTCTCCTGATGGGGTCCAGAGTCAGAACTAAACCAGGTTCTGGTCTCCTGATGGGGCCCAGAGTCAGAACTAAACCAGGTTCTGGTGTCCTGATGGAACTAAACCAGGTTCTGGTCTCCTGATGGGGCCCAGAGTCAGAACTAAACCAGGTGAAGCTTCATTTCGGCTCCATGCTCCTAAAATCTGGATTAGACTTTCCAGAAGATGTGAGACAGACTCTAAAACTCTTTAAATCCAGGCTGAAAACCCCTTTTGTTTAAATGTGCATATGGAAATTGAATGTATTTTATTTGCACCCTTCACTTTTTATCTAATTTATTTTGTTGATTCATTTTCTTTCTTTGTTTTTCTGCTTTTAAATTAGTTGTAAAGCACTTTGAATGGTCTTGCACACTAAATGTTCTGTAAAATAAACTTTCCTTGTTGCAGGTAACTGCCACGCTGCGGCTTTATTATCTGGCTTTGTGGTTTAACTTTAGGGCCAGGCCTTACTCCACATTTCCTGGATCGAGGCACGCACCCATAGTTAATTCCTAATTGAGCTAATTTGCATCTCAGATATTGTTCACTTTGCATGGGATGTGTCTAAGCTTTGGCTTTTTTGCCTGATATGTGCTGGACTCTGCCCACTCTTTATCCCACCGTTTGTTTATGTTTATGCATTTAAGAGACGCTTTTATCCAAACGACTTGCAAAGTAGGGGGGCACCGAGAGAGTTGTCTAATTGGAAGTACACACACACACACACACACACACACACACACACACATACGCTCAAACAAGTGTGTTTACTCTTTGGTGTTAGGCAGAGGGCCAAACCACCACTGGTTCTGCTACAAACGGACTTCTCTGAGTCCAGAAATTGGTGGATTTGCATGTTACCTGAATAATGGCATCTCTTTTTTGGGATTCAGTGCCCTGAACGCATCACCACACAGGTACAGTGCATTCAAAACCGAATATAAGGAAGTAGAATAGAGCTAAATAAGCATTCAAAGCTTTTTGTCTGTTTGGCTTGCCCTTCTCTCTCTCTCTCTCTCTATATAGTATTAGTTTTTAAGGCGTACGTAAACTGGACCGTGTGTTTTTCTGCCTGGTTCGCGCCTCCTGCTGCCTATAATGTGGCAGTAAGGTGTTTTTAGTTTTATTTTCCAGCTACGGCCCGTGTGGAGCCGGTTACACTTGCTTATGTGAACGCACATACGCTTTTCCTTAACAAAAAACACACAGAAAACTTAAAATGAAAGGCAAAATACACAAAAAAAACACTTACATTGGGGGAAATAAGTGTTTGACCCCTTGCTGATTTTGCAGGTTTGCCCACTTACAAAGAATGCTTATTTTTCCTCATCAGATGGTTATCAATTTTTATAAATTCATATGATGTGATTTTCTGGAATCTTCTTTGGGATTCTGTCTTTCACTGTTAGAACGTACATATGATTAAAGTTATAGATCGTTGCATTCTTTGTAAGTGGGCAAACCTGCAAAATCAGCAAGGGCTCAAATACTTATTTCCCCCATTGTAAATGCTCTAGAAGCTGATTTTCAGCTTCTAGATTTGTAAGTGTGACATTCAGTGGACGTCACTCTATAAACAGGAGGAATGAGGCCACAGTGCCCCCTGAAAAAACAAAAACACAAGAAACCAGCGAGCTTTCACTGCTGGGTATAAAGCAGGTTGGGAGTTGGGTTGTTTCCGGGGGGAGTTGGGTGTTAAATGGCTAAAGAAAACAGGTTCATGACTGGAGGCCTGAAAGAAGAGTTGGCTTGAAGTGACCCATTTAAGTTTGAATGGGATCTGTTGATTTCTTTAAGTTCAGTTTAAATTCATTTTTCAGGGCACTAGCTTCCATTTTATTCTGAATGCCGTAGATTGGACTATTCCTTTTTTTAAAGATTTAAAAAATTTGATTTTTCCTGAAAATGCAATCATTAGTTTACAATTTAAACTGAAAGGGAAAAAGGCTTGAAAGATGAATTTTAATAATTTATCTGCTAAACCACAAGTATCTATATTAGCTGTATTTCAAAATGTCAATCAATCAATCAATCAATCACTTTATTTTGGTAAATTGTCCACATTAAACACAAGAAACAACAAAAGAAAAAAAAGAAAAGAACAATAGACAAACCCACTCAATGTATAGAAATGTTATATTCAATGTATAGAAATGCATCAATGTTGAACATAACTACTCGTTTGTATTTTCACAACTTTACAGACAAACAACTCGCATGTAATGGTCCTCACTTCTAATTTCATATGTGTAAATGGTTAATGGTTTTTGTCATTGTATGGCTTAGATAGAATATACTAACCTGACTGGTCCTCACTATTACTGGGAAATGTCT